CTTTCTAGCGCTGAAACTCTTATCATTATAACGATATCTATTTTCCCCTAATGGCGAATATCTTAAAAGCTGCCGAATCTATTTAGGAAAGTAAACAATGAGAATGAATTAATATCACTTGAATGATTCATTTATAAGAAATAAAATAAATATTTGTGTTTCTTCTCACACTTAGTTTCTTTTTTTAATGACTACAGCTAATAACCTGAAATATTAAAGGCATTTTCTTTAAATCAAATTCACCCCGTGCAAGGCAATAAAGACACTAAGACATAATGGATTACTAGGAGGGAAAGAATTAGAAAACAGAAACATTATTGAGGAGTGAGAACAACAGAAAAGGAAGATAGTAGATAACGATTGACATTGCATTTAAATTTTTGAAGTTCAAACTTGACGGGAAAACAAGAAGTAGGAAGAGAGTTCCACAGACGAGAAGTGCGAGAAAAGAAACTGTTAATATAGAAATTACTGTTACAGCTAGTTAATTCAACTGTAAACCAGAGATATTGTTACCAATCTAGTACTGCGCTTAAATTCATAAATTCCAGTTACCATAGCGAAAATCTCACCCAAACAATTATCGTGAAAGTATTTATAGAAAAAGCACAGGGAAACAATTTTACGGCGATCGGAAAGTGACTGAAGCCGGGATGCCAAGTTAGGACCAATAATATTGCTGATTCGTCTTTGCATTTTATTAAAAATCTCTAAATATATACCAGGGACATCTTTATAACGTTTAAGATTAAAAAAGTACATCGAAATGTAATTTAAAGCATTAAAAGCGTGTATATCCTCACAGATGAAGAAGAGACTCGAGGCAACAGAGGCTTACGGCCAAAATACGTTGAAACACCGGATCCCGTATGTTCATCGAAGTTAAGCAACGTCTACCCTGGTCAATACCTATACAGGTGACCACTTAGTTATACCGGGTGCTGTAAGCTTGTATGTATGAGTTGTAATGGATAATGGCTCGAAATTGTTAATCGAAGAGTCGAATTTCTATTTCAGTTGGTTCGTAATACACACACACACACACACACACACACACACACACACATATATATATATATATATATATATATATATATATATATATATGATCAGTGAAGTTAACACCGAGTGGTGTCTGAACGCTATCTTCAGGCCTAAAGATAGCGTTTAAGCATGAAGCAGACTGTTGCTACACGATGTTGACTAGTGTCCACATCTGTATATACACACGCTCTATCCTTGATATTACTTTTACCCATATCTTAAAACTTATATATATATATATATATATATATATATATATATATATATATATATATATATATATATATATATATGTGAAAATATATAGAAAATAGGAAAGAACTGGTTAGGTAAATAATCCAAAGTTCCTTAGTATTTTAGTTATTATTTTTTAAAAATAGTGCTCGATACAAAAGTAGAGCATAAATATAATTATTTATTTAAAAATATGATTCCAACTCGCGAGTTGGAATCATATTTTTAAATAAAATATATATATATATATATATATATATATATATATATATATATATATATATATATATATATATATAGATATAGAAAGATAGAAAGAGAAATACCGAAACACACACACACACACACACACACACACACACACACACACACACACACACACATATATATATATATATATATATAATGACAACGATCTAATAGAAATAGTTGAAAATAACATTCACTTAGGGATTGTCCTAGCCGGGTCGGACTGGCTAGTCAAAATTTAATATGATGTGCTTCAGTCTCAAGGGGTTACGACGCAATAAGCGTTCTTTGGGAATGGTCTAGCGTCTTTACTTGACACCTGACGCGTCTCCAAAAGGGGAAGTGATGAGAGGGGTTGAACCATTTTTGTTATGTACGCGTGGGTTTCCATTTTAAACTCAATCATTCCGCTTCAGTAGGCGTGCGAATAAATACCATTCAGTAAGGATATTCACATTTCAATGCAATATAAAGCACTATACACAAACTCTATTTAGACCGCAATATATATATATATATATATATATATATATATATATAGGAGGAGTAGTCGATAGCAGCTCGGTTTGAGGAATCAGAGTGCCGTTCGAATTCCAGTCGAACCCATTACATCCACTTACGTACTAATATCCTTTGGATATTCTTCTTCTTCCTTTAGCTATGTGTAAATAGCAGGACAGACGGAGTTCAATAGCCTTGGATGGCAACTGGTCTAGGAGAAGGACAACTCTGAATTCAAAACCTACGGAAGGTCGTTTAGGAGCTTGTGGCAACTTCAAAAGTGTGGTTGGTTCTGCACAAAGCCTTCACTACTATAATCAAATCATATGTGCTATTGCTTCCTAGGAACTGAGCTGCTTGACCCTCATACGTCAAATACGACGGGAGAGTCCACCATATATATATATATATATATATATATATATATATATATAGTGTCCGAAACAAAAATGGAGATAATGAAAAAAATGGGAAAGCTTTTAAAAGATTCTTTTTAAATCATTTTCCCCCAAGGTGGGAATGTCACTAGTACTCAGTGAGGTGGGGGGAGGGATACAGGGAGTGAAAGTAAGAGAAAAGACTGAGTATAGGGAGGATCGAGGAAGGGATAAAAGATGAACGGTATTCAAGATGATAGAAGATGGCGTTTTACGTTGCATTTAAAATTCTGAAGATTGTAGTTATCAGGGAAGCAAGTAAACGGAAAGAATTTCCACAGATGAGAAGTGCTAGAAAAGAAACTGTTGGAGAAGAAGTGACGATTGCATTTAACTATTTCAACAGTAACTGGGTGGGACATAGATGCCAATCTAGTAGCACGCTTAAATTCATATGGTCAGGGTACCAGAAAACAGCTGGTCAGAGCACATTACAGATTTTTCTTTGGATTTTGTCAAGAACCTCGAGATGAATAGCAGGAACACCAGACCAGATAAAGCATCAGTATTCAATGCACAGACAAATCGAAGGTTTGTAAATGTGCAAGATGGACTCTGACGAGAAAAATTTTTTTATGTGACCTAACTTTCCTTGCAGTAGATGCAGCTATTGATTCGATGTAGTTGCGCCACTTGAAGTCAGTTGGAAACGTGAGGCCAAGAAGGCGCAGTGTGTTGCTCTTCACGAGTCTAGCGTCAGACATGCTGATGGCAGCCAAAACTACCAGACACAAAAGTGTATATACACAGGGGGGATCAAAAATACTTTTATATCTCTGGGAAGCGGTTTCCTCACACCAAAACGAGGATAAAAGTCCATATAAACATATATCCACAAATCCTTTGTTTTGAGTTATTAAGTTTAAAGAAAGTTTACGGTAGATGAGACTGTGTTGCCATTAGACTATGTTACATTTGTCATTCGTGTACATTTGTGACTAGTCTGTCTTCAATGTTTTACGTGTGTAGTAGTGAATTAACTGAGAAGTGTTCTGCTTAACAATGGCAGTATATTCATATCGTGAGCAGGCAGATATGATTTTTATATATGGCCGCACGAATGGTAATGGACGCGAGGCTGCACGGCTGTATCAGTTTGCGTTTCCGGACCGAAGGCATCCGAGTCGTACAAACTTTACTGCTATCCATCGTCGCGTTTCTGACAGGATAGGTGACACCACAAACTATGGATCGATGAAGACCGACATCCGTTTGTACGCCTGATCACGAAGAACACATTCTACAGGCTGTATCAGCACACGCCAAATAGCCCTAACATATCTTACATCTTCTAGAACCATAATGGAGGGTACTTCAAGAGAAGCTTCTGTATCCATATCACTTGCAACGTGTGCTGGGTCTTTGATCTCTCCACAAAGTACCGATCCGTTGTCTCTTCAGTCTTGTTTACGGATGAGGCAACATTTGGAAGAGAAGGAATAATAAATTTACACAACCAACATTTCTGGGCGGATGGGAATCCCCATGGCACAATACAGGCTAGACACCGGCTTCAGTTTACGGTTAATGTGTGGGCTGGAAAATGTAGGTGATTGTCTGGTAGGTCTCCCAGTACGTCTTACAGGAGCCAACTGACCCTACTATACTGTGCAGTCGAATGTTTGCGTGAAATTAAAAATATAAAACGGCGACAATTTAACTATCGCACCCTGTATACTAGATAATATTCGCGTCTACGCCAGGTAAGAGGTCAAACCTGGAATCGCAGCTTGTTATAATGATAGTAAAACGATTCTTTATTATTACTGTGAACTGGTAAATGTTGTTTCCGTCAGTATCAAGGCTGAACAACGAAATTCCAGTGTGTCTAGATTCATTATCAGTGACACCTGTCATGAGTATTTACGGCGGTTTAAAATAAATAAATGTAAATTTGATCTGAAATAAAATATACTATAAAAGTTAGAACAAATATTTTAGAAGAAAATTGTTCTGTGAAATTGCTTTTAAAAGAACAAAAATGATTTTCGTGTCCGAACTCTTTAATGATCAATATAGTCTTATAGCGAACGGTTGCAAATAGTAACTATTCCTATAAAATATATTATATGTATAACAAAATAAACAGTAGAATATCCTTCCTTACGTGGAATAAAAACATTCTCAAAAGCAAAAAACAAATAGTCAAGGAAGAAACCTACACTAGGTATAATTTATTTATGTTCGACCAAAGAAAAGTAAAATCACGTAAGTATATTTTCATTTGTAATCTTTTAGTGACACAGCGTGTCACCTACGATCGTAAACTTAAGCGTTAATTGTCTACCATTTATGGGTACAGCTCAGCGGTATACTAAAGTTATAAGTGTCAAGTTCTAGTAAGGTTGATGTTCATTAAATGTTTACCAAGAAAGAGAAGAATTTGATTTTAAAAGAAAAAACCTTTTCTCTTCGCAGTGGGTCGACTGCAAATAGAATTCTAACTAAAATGGAGCGTCTTTATTTAAACGCACTGTCTTCACTTGTCTATTTCTATTTTTTTCTTATATTTACTAAAGACTAACGGAAACATTTTGAAACACCGCTTCCGCTACGATCTCCGAAGTTAAGCAACATCGAGCCTGGTCAGTACCTATATGGGTGATCGCTTGTGAATATCAGATGCTGTAAACTTGGATGTGCGGGTGGTGTAATGGATAATGACTCAAAATTGGAAATCGGAGAGTCTAGTTTCAATTCCAGACGTTTCGTTATATTCCCTTACACACAAATATCCTTGGGAAAGGTATGAATCCACCTCTTCTCCGCCCAGCTATGGGTTAAATAGTAAGAGTTGTATCAGTAAATCATTATTATCGCCAAAGCATTTTTACAGTTTAAAAATATTTTCTGGCTTTAAATAACTAGCATAAGGTTGATAAGACGTAGAAAACAAATCAATTATTATATTTACAGAAGTTTGTACATGGTCAAATGAGAGAATAATGATTGGTGGTATACAATTTTCAAAGTGAAGATTGTATGCTTTGCTTGAAAATTCTGGCATTTAACTTGGGCTTAAACATTGATTATCTGTACAAATTAGAAATGCTTCACTATATCAACCACGAGGCAGTTCGCATATCTATTTTCCCGTAGTGTTTATAATATTTTCATGCATTATATACATCCTCCGAGGCTCTAGCAATTAACGTAGTCGCCCGCCAATGGTCGCTTCTCGGCCTAACTTTCTTTCTATTTTACATAAATGATATGTTTACCATTTGTGAATATCTATGCTTATGATTCAACGATATATGGGTGCCCCCGCCCTCAAAAAATAACTTTTCTCCTCGGAGCTTCTTTAACATCTCAGTCGGGGGAAATTTGTTGGTTACATTCAATACCTCCAAACCAAACTAGTTAAATTCCATCATCGCTGACTGAACCCAGAACTATCACTAGTCACGATGAACAGATATTCTTTCACGGAGTCCCTGTGCCTTGAACACCTTTTGGGACTTAAAACTGAATCCAGACCTCAAGTGGAACTCGTATATACGATCCATCGCTAAAGATCCTGGAATAAATAGTCAGTTCCCTGTACCACTCCAGCAGTAAGTGCTTGACTCCCCCTGCTGTTTTCTCTACCTTTACAAAAGTCAGATCTGGCCCAAAATGGAGTACTGTTGCCATATATGGGCAGGAGCTGCCAGGTCCTCATTTTCCAGTCTCGACAGAATCCAAAAGCACTTCCGCGTCTATAAAGACGCAGAAGGGCTTTTGGTTGACAAAATATTTCCACCCTACAACCCTTTTTCAAAGACGAAACGTCGCAAGCTCTCTCGATGTTTTATCGCTATTTTCATGAAAAATATTCAAAAGAACTACATTCGTAAGTTCCACCTGCTCTAATCTTCACGGCTAAGACCCGCCATGCTACGCCCATTGTAGCAAACCACGCCCATTTCCTTTGTATTCAATTGGTGAGAAGTAAGTTCCACTCGAACAGCTTCTTCCGACGAATCACTGCTTTGTGGAACCGAGAATCAAGAGGATGCTTCTCTGATCATTACAATCTTAATCTGTGCAATTGTAGAGTTAACCGTTATCTTCCCCACATGTCAGCCTAAATTGTGCCTCTAACTCTCTACCTCGAGTGGCTCCAGGGCCTTCTAGAAGTTGAACATCAATGTAACAAAAAAAAACCGTCGTCTTTGATTACGATATCATCAGCGATCCATTACTGACTCTATTAAAATGGTTAAAACTGTTTATACCACACATTGACAATAGTTACTCCACAAACGACGCGCAAAGGCGCATTTTAGAGCAACTATTTGAAGATTTCATTCACTATTAATAGAATCTATTTGCTACTAGATAACCATTTTATGAGAATCGATGTGTTTTAAAATCACTTTCATTTAATATTTATGCACTACGAGTTTAGGATTCTTCTTACAAAACTAACGATTCTTTTGCACTTTAATGGATTCCTTCCTTCCGGTAGGTTTCCATTCAGCGTGAAGTACTGTTTTAAGTGTTAAGCAACTTAATCGGATAATACGGTCGTTTTTATTATTCATTTCCATAAAAAAAATGTTTGTCTTCCAATAAAGTCTCAATATCCGGCTTAGAATGATTAATTTAAATTGGCACATAAAGGCGTTACTCCGGCACTAGCAATAAAAGTTGGCCTTATTACGAGTAACATTTCACAAGAAATTTTTATTCTTTTTACGATTAAAACGGCATAAATAAATATAGCAACGATATTTTCATATTTTTGACGTTATTAACTGCGTTGTAGATCAGACTAAAATTTAATAATTGTCCTCCGAGGTTAGTGAAACTATTCAATACGCTGAAAGTATAAACTATGACCATTAATATTGATATTTTGATAACCATTTATGGATAGAAAAATTTACAAGCGTAATGATTGACCATTTCAATAGAAATGTGAACTGCCACTAACATAATATTTTAATCAACATGTTTTTTTCATTCAGAAGTTATGAAGCAGCAGGTTATTGGCGAGAATAAAAGTAAATTTTCATAAAATCAATATAATTTCGATCTGAGTAAATGGCTTTCTCTATTAACAGTATCAGTAAAATCTGTAATATCACCACGGATCGCTCAATCTATCTATCTATCTATCTATCTATCTATCTATCTATCTATCTATCTATCTATCTATCTATCTGTTTTCCCAATCTATCTATCTATCTATCTATCTATCTATCTATCTATCTGTTTTCCCAATCAATCTATCTATCTATCTATCTATCTATCTATCTATCTATCTATCTATCTATCTATCTATCTGTTTTCCCAATCTATCTATCTATCTATCTATCTATCTATCTATCTATCTATCTATCTGTTTTCCCAATCTATCTATCTATCTATCTATCTATCTATCTATCTATCTATCTATCTATCTATCTGTTTTCCCAATCTATCTATCTATCTATCTATCTATCTATCTATCTATCTATCTATCTATCTATCTATCTATCTATCTTTTTTCCAATCTATCTATCTATCTATCTATCTATCTATCTATCTATCTATCTATCTATCTATCTGTTTTCCCAATCTATCTATCTATCTATCTATCTATCTATCTATCTATCTATTCATGAGAAGCATCAGAAAAGGATTAGTACAAATCATCGCGAGTGTATTTCATTAGTGTGATCTACAATCTGCTGCTTCGTTATTAAATCTTTCAGTTGTACTCCATTGTAGACATTGAATTAAGTTACAGCACTGTATAGTTGATCATTTCCACAGAACGGACTCATAGCTTCCATGTAAATACATTTGCCTGTTAGGTTTAACGAACAAATTACGATTTGTTTTTAAATTTATAAGTAGAATCTTACTCCATTCCTTCTTGTAGGCTTAATGAGAAATAATCCGTGCCTTACATTACTTAAATATACGAATGCAAATAAATAAGATTAGAATAGTGATATCTCTCGTCCGGTTTACACTCCTCCCCAGGCTTTGAACACGTGTATAGATTTATCCCTTGTTTTCTGTTTAGGATTGTGTTTCCAGTCTCTTCCTTGCCTTTTAATGGCGTTATTGTGTTGCTTGGGGTGAATTGATTATAAATAAAAACACGGTTCTCTCGAATGATACTAAGAATACCACGGACTGAACATGTGAGTGACAAGAAAGTTCAATTGTATTCGAATTAGAAAGAGACAGTTGAAATTTCTCAGCTTGGCGAATTTTACATTCACAGGACATAGTGAAGCGACAGAGGAAAGCAGCGAATGACTTACCCAATGAGTTTGTGTTGGCAGAATAGGGATTAGGAGAGATAATTAAATATGCTCGTATGTGTCTATGTCGTGCATGAATAATGCTTCCGACACTCCTTCTAAACATATTGATTCTAATGGCACAAGTTACTTCATAAATCCATTATTATGTTAACACAGAAAAAAAATCTATACTATTCAATAAAGCCCCAAATCACACTATCAATGAGGTTGGATTATAACATGAGCCGAAGCAGTATTTAAGCACAGATGTTTGTGCTGGTTTTTTTTTTTTTATTGGAGCCAAAACTTGGTTAAATGTGATAACAATAACAATAATAATAATAATAATAATAATAATAATAATAATAATAAAGAAATACAGAAAATTGTATTCACAAGTACAGCTCACACATTATGAACAGCTTTGTCTCTGTAAAATGATTGAGATCTTAAGTATTTTTGCATTTTTTTTGTTTTTACAAAAATCAGTGGAAAATGTCGGGAAGCCATTTTTGACCCGGAAGGAAATATGTATACAACAGAAATACAAGGAAATAGTAGTAGTAGTAGTCGTCATAGTAGTAGTAGTAGTAATATTAATAATAATAATATATTATCAAAGGTAGAAAAGGAAAAGTTGGCACGCTGACTGACATAAGCGTACCAAATGAAAAATTAAGTAAATACAAAGATCTGGAGATAGAAATAGAAAAAGAAATTGACATTTAAAAACTAAAATTATTCCTGTTGTAGTTGGAGCTTTGGGTCTGATAAAGAAAGGAACTTAAGAACAAATCAATTAAAATGCCTGGTGCACCATCTCTCCGGGAATTCCAAAAATTTGTTCTAACAAGCGCAGCTCATATCCTGCAAAATGTTTTTGTTGTTGTTGTTAATAGATGCCTTTTGTTTAATTAAGTGGAAACAAGAAAATATCACATCCTTCACTTGACATAGGTTATTGGTTATGACCCGACATTTAATTATAAAAAAATCAGATCAAAAATATTTTAGAAATAATATTAATAATGATAACATCAAGGAAAAAAGAATAATATTTTCTCATATTATTATGATTGATTGTTTTTTTACGGCTTAACAACCAGGTTATTTAAAGCCAGAAAATATTATTGGATTGAAAGAAAACTTTTTTGAGATAATAATGATTTAGTGATAAAAGACTCACTAATTTAACCCATAGCAGGGTTGTGGCGCGTAAGCGAATGTAATGAACCGCTAGGGAATTGAACTCGGATCTCCGATTAAAAAAATCCAAGCTATTATCCATTACACCACCCACACATCCAAACCTGCAGACCATGGTATTCCCAAGCGATCACACATCTAGGTACTGACCAGGCTCGAAGTTGTTTAACTTGGTGATCTTACGTGTTTCAACACGAT